CGCAAAGGTATAACATTCAAATGGAATCTAAAACATGTAATGACTTTACTTAGTTACATAAATATTAATCAATAGATAAACATTTTTTAACTAAACTCTTGAGTGAGAGTGTGTGTTTGAGGAGAGAGAGAGAGAGAGAGAGAGAGAGAGAGAGAGAGAGAGAGAGATTGTCATGGACGGGAGGCCAGCCGGTGCGGTAAGTGGTTTATGGTGGGAATGAGGTTGGTTCAGGGCCCCGTCGAAGACGACCCAGTATTGTTTATGTCGTAATGTCTTGTGGGTTTTGGGTTCTTTTGTTCTACTTTATGTGATCTGCTCTGACTGAGGCGCAGCGTGTGTACATTTATTTAAACTGTAGCCCATAAACACCATTTAGATCGTGGGTGGTTGGAGGGCGCTGCTGGTAAGTCCAACTCCTTTGCTTTCCCTCTGTTGTTTCTGTCTGTTTGTCTTGCTTTCCCCCCAGCACGAAATGACCATGCATCATTGCGCCGATGTGCCTCTCCTTACTCAAACAAACAAACAAACTACAATTTAGATCTCTCTCTCTCTCTCTCTCTCTCTCTCTCTCTCTCTCTCTCTCTCTCTCTCTCTCTCTCTCTCTCTCACTCACATAGATGGTGAGAGATGCTAGAAGCATCAGCATTTAGAACTGGTTTTCAAGAAGGTACTTGATGTTTATTCAGAGTACTTGAACTTCCACCCTCAATCAAACCGACGTAGGCCTACTTCTCATTCGTCCAACCAACGTCTGTGGAGTAGCGGTTAGACACTTCACTGTTGCACACAGGAGACCCGAGTTCGATTCCCGAGCAAGGAGAGAATTTTTATCAAGTATCGTGCTCTTTCTGTAGGCATGTTGTATCACCCTCAGCCCGAGGGTTTTGGTTTGTTGCTGTCTGTTGTTGATTTTGTTTTGTTTTTGTTTTGTTTATCGTTTGTCTTTGTACAGGTTTTACGGCGCTGGCAACTGCATAATAAGGTCATATGAGCGCACGAGGTTCATTAAATATTTTCAGTTTGGTAGGAATTTTGAATTTTGTCCGGGTGGCGGCCGAAACCTACTCTCATCGATTTTTGAAACACCAAATTATGATAGTTGACGCGAGCAACTAGCACACGGGACCTCCGAGGAGGCTATACTGCCGTCAGCTGCCAAAAAAATTCGCCCTTTTTTCATTTTGGTGCAAAAAAAATTTATTTGCTAAATCGATAGTCTGACCTGTTACCCAACTTGTGTGAAAAAAAGAAAGTGAAACTGTGACTAGTTTTTGAATAAATTAACATTCAAATTACGGAAGAACGCCTTTTTTTAATGGTTACGCTGACAAAACGCCTTTTTTAAAGAGTTCGCTGACAAAACGCCTTTTTTTTTCGCTGCGGGTTTGGAAAAAAGTCGTTCTGTCAGCAAACTCTGTTCAAGACAAAAGCCGACAAAACGCCTTTTTATTGTCATGTTCCAACACTGTAACAGTGACTCTCGTCTTGAGTATGATCTCCCAACCCCCCACCCCCCTTCCCCCAAACACACATACACACACAAACTCACAAACACACACACACACACACAC